CGCACGAGACACAAAATATCTCTGTCACACAGATATCTCTCTCTCTCTCTCTATATATATATATATATATATATATATATATATATATATATATATATATATATATATATATATATATATATATATATATATATATATATATATATATATGGTAGGATTTTCTTAAGGTATAGCTGTCATAAAAACAACATTTATCTACAAAAATAAATGCCACCGCAGCATCACTCAACTCTCACATTTATCATCGTGATTGGCATAGCTTCTCACTCATCTCCCAACCAAACGATTCAATACAAATCAAAATCATCATAAGATGACGCTCCTTGCGTGTTCATCTTCAAGAATTTAGATAAAATTCTTCCATGGCTCTCATCGAAGTCTCTCTAAGTCGAAATTTGTTCTTGAATCGTCAGATTCTAACACACATATACGCACGCAATCGAAGAAGAAAAAGAAGGAAGCATCGTGACTCGATTGTATGGTAGGAAGTGCATTAACACGAGGTGATGGGTGATACCACCACAAATCCACGTAAGATTCTTTGGCATTTAACACCCAATATTAATGTGGGATCAATTTGGATACTCAAATTTCGCTTCCATGAATGCGAGTTATGATGCTCCTTTTTTGTGCCTTTAATTGCTCCACGTGTGTTATGCATACCTGTAACATATGTATGGAGGCAAATGTGAGAATTATATTGGATGATGATGCTATGTTTATACATTACGAAATGCATGATTTATGTTGGCTAAACTTCATCTATCAATCTATATTTGTGATGCAAGTTTTTGAAGCTATCATAACCATACGCAAACACACACTATCCTCCTCTCTATTAATTTCATGTGGTTTACATGGATTAAATTAAATGGATCATATGTCCTCATACGATCTGACAAAGACTTCCTACCGGAGCTTATGCTTCCGTTCCTAGGGTTTGTGTCATGGGACTAGAAACCTACTACTCTTTTGCTCCCTAAGGAGCCATGCATTAATGGTAGGATTTCTCAACCCCCACGTTTCATGATCAGACATATATCTTCCCACTATTCTCTCAACCGCATGCTTTAATGCAGATCAAATCAGGCTTCCATCGAAAAGAGATTAGGTGGCGTCTCCGAGCATATAGAATTGTTAGATTGGAAAGCACACTCGACATTAGTCCTACCTACTGATTAAATGTATACGACAGCTATGATAAGACTGTTTACTTATTGAGTGAATCTATGCACGGATATGATGAGAATGTTAGTCTATAGTTACTCGAATACTGATATCATATATTATCTATACATGATGAACAAAGGACAACAATGTTTCAGATACTTCAAGGTAAAAAAAGACTGCTCATTAACTACATACTCTATGCATGATTACATGAGTTCGAGCACTCGGTTCTTATCATGGTTTGACTAACCTAAACACAGAAATGATACTTCGATATCAACCGAGAAGAAGAAGACTGCTCAATGTATTTACTTGATCCATTAAATTCTTCATCCAACAACCACATGAAAAGTCTATTCTTCCACAGTGGCTCCATCACTAGCTCATGTCATTTTTCTTTTGTTATCGCCACATGAACTGACCCAAATTTATTTATACTTTATGCTTTTGGATTGAAAGAGAGGAATTACCATCAGCTTCATGGGCTATCGGATGCGCAATGAACCTCGATAACTTTGATGTAGAATATATTATCTTACACATGTGGCATCTTCTACGGCAAAACAAATTAGGAAGCATGCAAGCGACTGAATGAGAGTTGGTGGACATAGAAGATCGAAACAAGAAAAGGAGGGCGAAGAACAAGAATACTCGCCCCATGCAACGTTACGCGAATTATAAGCCTCAACTCCATGTAGAATATTTAGGGTGGAGAAGTATTACGATGACTCGTTTGGAGTATAGAACGATAGTAATCACCTCAACGAGCAGATTACAAGGAATGTAGAACGTCAGTGGCTGAGAATGGCTGTCTTCCGACATGCCAATATCAAGATACGGTGGGTAAAAGTTACTGTAGCTATAATTGAATGTAGGTGACACGACAGAGGATCTCTTCCCTAGGCCTGAAGGAACCCGGAGATGACTCGGTACCGTCGTCTTCCCCATGGCCATGGAACCGGCAGTTGTTTTGGGTCACTGGAGTTCACACCTAACGTTAATTTCTGCAGCAGAAGACTATGAGGTTTGGTTGTGCCATTAATGCTGCCGGTGAGCAAAACCAGATGCTTTCCCCTTGGTCAACCCGACCCACATCGTCACGTCTCTCTCTCTCTGATAAGTGCTATCTACCACCGCCACCCTCCCGTTGCATTTAGTGTTATATATACTCATGATCTGCTCCTCCACCCATTGCCCTGCATCAACATTCCTCACTTTTGGCACGTAGCTAGCGACAGCTTCGGCCATGGCCAGTAGTTTCAGGAGCCATTAGTGGCAGCCAGTGGGAGATCGAGGAAGCCGAGAGAAAAAGAGTCATAGAGAGATTAGAGAAGAGGGAGGAGAAGACTGTAGGTGTCCCCATGGTGCTGCTAAAGATAGCTGCACACTGGGAGTTCGCCTGCTGCAAGGTCGCTAAGAAGCTCAGGAGCCATGGCTTTCTCCTTAGGAACTCAGCCAGATTGCACCAGGTCCATTCCTTGCACTCTAGTGTGACCAAGTGCTCCTTAGAGGGAAGAGAGGGCCAAACCCTGGTGTGTGACTTCCATGGCACCCTCCTTGGGACACCATATTTGTTTCCTTACTTCATGCTGGTGGCCTTTGAAGGTGGCAGCCTCTTGAGAGGTTTCCTTTTGCTTCTCCTCTCGCCCTTGCTCTGGGTTCTGGGTTACCATAGGGAGATCACCATGAGGATCCTAGTCTTCGTCACCTTCTGTGGGCTCAGGACCAAACAATTGGAGCTTGTGAGTAGGGCAGTGCTCCCAAAGTTCTATCTGGAGAACCTTCATCTCCAAGCCTGTGAGCTGCTGGCCGCCACCGGGATGAGGGTGGTCCTCACCAGCATGCCAAGGGTGATGGTAGAAGGCTTCCTGAAGGAGTACCTCGGTGTGAGTGAGGTGGTGGGAGCTGAGTTGCAGGTGGTCAGAGGCTGCTACTTCACTGGGCTCATCTCTGGATCAACCCTGGCCGCAAAGCAGAAAGCTCTCAAAGACATCTTTGGGGAGGCCAAGGCTGATGTAGCCCTCGTGAGCTCCTCCAACCTGCATGATCATCTGTTCATCACCTACTGCAAGGTCTGCCACTGTACATTTCACACTCTCCAAGCATCCAACTAGCTTTCTTGCATGATACAACAGCAACAACAACCACCATAACAAGATGGATGTGAGAAATATCCCATCTCTGGCATATACTATACATCTCTATTTTCCTTTCAGTACAACACATTCCACAAAGATTAGAACATGCATGAACATAAGAAAGCATGAAGACCTATATAAATATGCGTTCATTCTTAATGAGGTAGATAGTCCAAACAGTGGATCCTTATGCTTCTCTTTCTATAGCATGCTGAACTTGTTACTTGGCCAGGAAACGTTTGTTGTGAACAAGGAAGAGGATACCAGCGGCATCAGCACAGAGATGCCGAGAACCAAGTACCCAAAGCCTCTCGTCTTCCACGATGGAAGGCTAGCTTTGCTTCCCACCCCCTCGGCCACCCTTGCTGTTTTCATGTGGCTACCGATTGCCATACCTCTGGCCATCTTCAGAATCGCCATGGGGATCATCTTCCCCTACAGGGTTACCGTCTTCATCGGAGCACTCATCGGCATACGGTTCGCCGTTGGGAGACCGCACACGTCCACTTCCGACGCCAGCACAGGCTCTTGCAGGAAGGGAGAGTTGTACGTGTGCACGCACAGGACGCTGTTGGACCCCGTCATTCTTTGCATAGCGCTGCAGCGGCCGGTGCCGGCGGTGACGTACAGCCTAAGCCGGATGTCCGAGATGCTGGCGCCCATGAAGACGGTACGTTTGACGAGGGATCGCAAGCGTGACGCGGCCACCATCCGGCGCCTTCTGTGCGACGGCGACCTCGCGGTGTGCCCCGAGGGGACGACGTGCCGGGAGCCGTACCTGCTGCGGTTCAGCTCGCTGTTCGCGGAGCTGGCGGAGAACATCGTCCCGGTGGCGATGGACGCCCGGGTGGGGATGTTCTACGGCACGACAGCGAGCGGGCGGAAGTGGCTCGACCCGGTCGTGTTCATGCTAAACCCGCTGCCGGTGTACACGGTGGACATCCTGGAGCGAGTGCCGCCAGAGATGACCTGCGCCGGCGGGTTGACGCCTACGGAGGTGGCCAACAGGATCCAGAAGCAGCTGGCCGACGCGCTCGGCTTCGAGTGCACTGCCTTCACCCGGCGAGACAAGTACATGATTTTGGCCGGCAACGAAGGTGTGGTGAGCAAACAGTGCGAAGGGCGTGTGGTGAGTAATCAATGCGAAGGGCAAGAGAAGAAGAAGCAGCCCAAGTAAAGTTGGTTGCTGACCGTGACCGGTAGTGGTGTAGTACTGCGACTACTTTCTACATGGCATAAATTTCACCATGTCTACAGGATCATGTGACTCATATCACATAAGTCTCTTTCGTATAGAACTGTTCTGCTGAGAAGTCTACTGTCATATACTTTGTCTCCTTGTCCTGCAGCGCTAGTTGCTGCTGCTGTAACTACGGTTTCCATTCAATGATGGGCCAGTAAAGGAAGAAGAAGAAGCGTAAAGAATTGCTGCATGCTTCTCTCAGTCTTTTTCGTTTTAACCATATTTATTACAACTGATTATGTAGCACAATTATATATATATAATATGTTAGTATTTTTTAGTTACCCATTAGTTGAAATTTTAGTTTACATTAATAACCTTCAATTTTAAATTATGATACCGAAGATATTAAGGATAGTTTAGGTATTTTCGATTGCAGCTATATATATATATCAGATGAAACAATTAAGTCAGTTCTTGCATTAGTGTTATATTTAATTTTTCTTCCAATTCTTTATGTTCTTTCCAGATGCCCTGAAGTTTCCTGTCAAATCATGTATAGATTTTTAGTTATGCTTTATTTATTTCTTGATGGAACATCTAAGTCACGCAACTATTCACAATCGATGCCAACCATATACTTGTTCAATGCTTACCTGCCTACAGTCAATTCAAGGATGCAATCATTTCAAATTAAAGAGGAACATATGATCCATGAAAAAATCGTCCTTACAACCATAGATCTTCTAATTATCTCAACAAGATCTTCTAATTATCTTCTAATTATCTCAACAAGATGAATGATTTTTGGCTATTACTTACATGGGACTAAATGTGGCATCATTAGATGATGGACTGAATTATCCCACCATAAAAACACTTGGGTTGGTGGGTGGCTGTCTTGCTCAAGAGGACATGCAGCTTCTTCTCTAGTAGCATTTGCCATCTTTGCATCACTAAATCATAGAGGTTATGAGTGAAGCTTGTCCTACACAAGCGACAAGGAACCGTTCAATGGAGTTGGGAACCGTTCAATGGAGTTGGCTGGCTCATGGATCGTAAATGTACCTCCATTAGTAGATGGCATGGCTATGATCCATGTTAATTTTGAGATACCAATCTCTCACTCAAATCTGTCAATTGATTTGCTCGAACTTGTCAGGAAGCAATTAAATTCAGATGAGGTACTTGTTATACTTGATTTTAATTTGGTATTCATTAATTCTACTAAAAACAAAGAAAAGGAGGTAGTGAAGTAACATGATGTTTATTCCTCCCCATTCCCTTCACCAGGATATATTTTTCATCCATCTCAAATTATTGTCTGGCCCAATAGATTTATACTAGCAACTATGTCACATTTGACCCTTCTAATTGATGTTTCTTTAGAAGAAAAAAAGCGGAATCATCTATTGAGTCTGTAAAGTGGTTTCTCTGTAAAGTGCAACGTATTGAGAGGTTCTAAATATTTTCATACACAACTTCCAGGTTATATAGCTCTATTGATCATAATGAGTCAGTAGAGTTTAAGAACATACCTCGGTGGGAGACAAAGACGCGAGTCCGTAAGCTCCTGATGGTGTCAGTCACAGTGGCAAGGCACCCGAAACTTTGATCCTGAAAAGGACAAGGATGTACTCAATAACAGAACTCACATAAGTCTACATAATTCAATTTCATGTAGGTAAAACATGCACTGCTGCAGTCTGTTGGTACATAATGGTGTAATTGTTGTTTGATCTTGTCTTTCCAAAGGAGAGTCTCCATAATCCTGTGCAAAATGTACTGTAGTAGATGGGTTCACTGAATCCTCCCTGGGATGGCCCATTTGATGACCTCTGGATCTGGCTTCACTGCTCCGTGCTGTTCTGAAGACCAAGACCAGCTTATAAAGAACTAATCAGCAACAGTGAGTTCACCTACAGCAGAGAAGTTGTTCATCCTTGAGATGAAGTTGGTGGAAGCTCCCAGTCTGCAGTCAATTTTTGGTAAAAAGATAACAAAACATTAGAGATCATTAAAGAAAGCTTTGCTGCATGCATGAGACCTGAAAATTTTCATGGCAACCTGATATATGTGGCTCTCATACGTATGACATGGATATGGTATTAAGGTATTTCCATTTAAGATGGGCAACACCAGTCATACCTGATAATCATACCGTGTTAGAACTGTCAACAAAAGGAGTGCAGTTTAAGATGGCATCAAGCACAGTGGCATTGAATCTGAAAGATAAGGATGTATCAAACAACAAAACCCACAGATATCTACACAATTTAATTGCATGAGTAGGGTTAAGCATGCACTGTTGCAAATTTTTCGTACATGAATGGCACAGCTGACATGGCCTAATATTTCATACATGCACTGTTGCAAACTTACTTCCAGAGAAGTCTGCAGGAGTGGGTTCATGTATAGAAGGTTGTTCATCCTTGAAATAAAGATGGTAGAAGCTCCCAGCCTGCAGTTAATTTTGGCGAAGAGACAATGAAAACACTGGAAACAGTAAAAGAAAGATTTGCAGCATGCATGAGACCTGTAAAATGCCATGGTGATGTTGTCACTCATGCGCCTGAAACATGTTGCTCATATATATGAGATGACCATGGTACTCAAGGTATCTCTTAAATATGCAGGCCATTTGTCATCATCTTGCAAGCTGACACATTGACAAGCTATGGATGTCATGCTTCACATGAACATAAAAGAAAAACCCTCTTCATATATTGACTCTAATGGTGAAGAAGCCAAACTTCTCAACTATTTAAGATAAATATGGAACTTAGAAATTCATATTACACATAAATAGAAGGGCCATAGCAATGGATACATTCATTACAAGGATGAGAGCCTGAGAGTTTGTGAAATTTGTTGTTGAAATGTGATTTTCTTGTCAAAATTAGTTGCGGTCTACAGATTTAGCAGACAAAACGTTGTAGTAGTGATAAACCCACAAGCAACTCCTATTGATATCTATCTTTCACTTATGACCTACATTAAATGCATTGAATCTTAACAAATTGTGGAAGAAGCATAAATTATAGTACCATCTCCAGCCTTCAAGAAAATCAATCGAAACATGAACATGTGGGAATAGAGAGAAGATGCCATTTCATGGGCAGGACAAAAGCAATCCATCTTATTACAAAGAACATTAACAAAAATAAAGTTTCTGTAGGTTATCACTATGATTTATGAATATACCTGTATGACCAAACCTTCAGATTTGGTGGTCCTTGTCCCAGCCATGTTGATTTGTGAAGCACATGCACTGGTGACTTCTAAGCCTTCATATGCATCATTATATTATAATTACTATCTTATAGCAGTACAAAAACTGTTTTCTGCACCTACCTACTCTCAAGAGGCAAATGTATCAGGTACAAAAATCCAAGGAGATTTCCCAACAAAACAGGTCAGCTATATAACAGAAACTCAAAATGAAAAGCTTCAGTGTAGATGGCACTCCCATCAACACACCAATCTTCAAAAGCTGATGGCAACTTCTAAGCCAAACATAGGCAAAAAAATATTTGTTCACAGATCTCCATGACTAATAACTAATAAGTGGGTAGAAAGATCTACCATAACGGCTGCAGTTTACTTTCATACAACCACGAAACGACCTTATAAAATTCAGCGCTTATGGCCATTACATTCGGAAAATCTAGGAGCGGCAAAGTTACACTACTTGATTGCAGTATTATATTTGCATTACAATTAAGCTGGCTCACGGTAAATAAGCAAAATTTCTTTCAAGGACAAGCTCTGATACAAGGACGTATGGCCATTCCTCAAAACATAAAAAGAAAATAACACATTAAAATTTACCTGAGAAGCGTCAAACTCCTTGCCATGATCATCCTTTTGCTAGTTGGTTGCTTGTTGAACGGGCTGCTTTGCTGTTTCAAACAGCAAATGAGTAAGCTAAGTAGAATATTTAGAATAATTGTTTCAATGTACTCTACCCTTCCAAATCTGACATTAGTAAGAACATGGTCAAACAAGAATGAAAAAGATAATTCCGTAATACATATGGTGGATGGGATTCAGGGGCCAGTTATCGCTGCCAACACTAATATAATATTTATAGGGCAAGAAACACAATTACAACCCCATTAGCGTCAAACATGGCGCAATCCTTCTACTGTACTCCCAGCCAGTGCACAAAAAATGATTGAGAACGAGAGGGACAAACACCTGGTCTGGTGGCCGGTCTTCATTGGACGAGGAGCCGGGAGAGGGAAGCGTGACAAGAAACGCCCTCGGCCCCCTCAATGGAATTGCGAAGAGGACGGGCTATCGGTGGGCGACGCTCTGAGACATCAAGTTGCGGAAGGGGAAGCCGATGGTCGGGCGCGTCGGCGTTCTTTATTACCAACGCCCCGATGACCCAAAAGGTACCATCGAGGTCAGGAGTTCCGGAGGAGAGGCAGAGGCGGTCGCGCCAAGGGCGACAAAGGGCTCCCCCGGGAATGGCCGTCCGTCGCCGCTGCTTTCTCGGGGCTCACTGGTCCCAGATGAGCATATTTGACCCAGTAATGGCCATATAGTGCATAAGAAAGACACGAATAGATGCGATCAAGGAAGATTGGGCAAGTTCAACTTGAGAGAGAGAGAGAGAGAGAGAGAGTTGGCGCCCGCAAATGTCGGAATAATATGGCATTTGATGTGGTCAGCGACGAGAAATATTTACAAAAGGCAACAAGCTTCTTCATTGGAAGTACTCAAACTTTTCATACAAATCAACTGTTGTTCATGGTTGTTACACTCAAGACACACCTCATCTTAAAAAGAAATGGCAAATGCTTTGTCAAACATCACAGATAAGCCAGAAAAGAATCCATAAACCTTGAACTGTCATCACAAAGTGTAGGGAGCAATCTCTTGGGTGTCAGAGCAAAGAGGAATCTATTAATTTGTGCATTCGCATTAATGTTGGAGATAATGTTAAATGCCTGAGATGTGTGGTCAACAGTCAACAAGAATATTTTGGGGGAATTGTCGACATTGACTGCATGGTAATGCAATAGACGCTTTGCTGATTGATATTAAGCATGTCATACATTCTTAACGTTCTCCAGAATATAGACACATAACTTATCTAAAACTTCCATGGTGATGGTGTTATTTGCTACATAAAGTCACGAACCTCTCCAAAGTTTCAGATGTACCAGAGGGTGACGAGAGTGACACGCTCCTTTTGACGCCTCTTATAGTTCTAGATTCCTTGACAACTTCTTGTACAAATAAGATCAGAACAAGAAGAACCAAGGAATGATGAGGCTACATATGACAGCTGAAGTTGCGACTATGGATCCTTGGTCGCATGCTTTTCGCAACCCTCCCACCCTTGAAAAATGTTGAAATGCCAAGTACCCAGCTATTGCCAATGAAACAATTGCACCAGCTTGGGTTCCTCTGTAAGAAATATAGAAGACATTGATAAGAATGGTGGAACATGTGTACAATTTGTTCTCTAATGACTAAAATTCCATTATAAAATTCTTGATTGCCTCCCGCCATGATCAACTCATGTGACTATAATTCAAAGCAAGATCTTAGAGATCCACCAAAAAGAAAACACCATACTTATATTTCTCTTTTTGAGTGTAAATGTCTATCACAAACTTGCCTTAAATTCATTGTTTGGTACGGAGCCACAATGACAAGTAACATTGCTAGGAATGGTAGCTCAAGTCCACCTATATAGCAAGAAAAAAATTAATAAATTCAAATTTTCTCTGGAAAATATATATGATGTCTTAGATATTGCAGAAAAGCAGTCTAATCTTAGCAAGGTAATGCAAACTTCTTCTTGAACTCTATGAAATTAGAATTTGGTCCTTTGATGCACGAAAGTATAAATATTACACAACAAAAGGAACACTTACCTGGAACAAAATAGAACAGACGAACCAGAAGCGCCAGAAATGCAGTCCAAGTACCATAGTCACCCCTGTATAAGAAAAGCAAGATCTAGTCATTATACTACTGAAATAGTTTAATTATATTTATGACAACTTCTTCCATAAGCTCACTTGATCCATGAAATGACGGACGTGGGTGCTTGCAGAGCAAAAAGAGGGACAAGAAATGATTTCTGGATAGCTGTGCCTTTGGCAAACATTAATACCCTGAGAATATGCAGCAACGATTAGAGAATGTTCACAAAAAAAATATTAGAGAACGTCAAGTATATAAAGAGAGAAAAGGTACATAAACCATGCAAAGTCTGGTACCTTAGAGATAAGGATGTCTATAGTGAGAGAGAATAGAGATTGGAGATTTAGAATACTGGAATGATCAACAAAGTTTAATTCACATTCTGACAGGGAGAAGTTGAAATTTTTTGGTAGTCGCTAAGCTGGAGATAAAAATTTAATTCTATTCTAGAATCCACAATTGTTCCCTTAGCAAAGGAAGACATGGCAAATTCCCTTTTGATTTTACTTTCTTCTCAGTAGCCCTGCATTTTTATAGATCAAGTTTTTTTTTTTATAATAGGCATAGAACACGATCCTATAGAGTATAGACCACAGCCAAGATATAAGTCCATTGAGTTCCCTGTAAAATCAATGAAGTTTAGAAAAGATGATCACAATTCCACAAGACGCAAAGGGAGCACATTGTGTGGATTAAACTAGGAATAGCCACTGGATCAAAGCCACCAAGGATTTGATTAAGTAAAGATACAAAATCCATTCGTGATCCAGTAAATTAGCAGATCAAGAATGAGGATCAATATCTGAAATTTTAGATTTGAATTTCAAGTTAGCGGATCATGTTGACTACTGTATAAGGCTCTCTCTCTCTCTCTCTCTCGACACATACATATGTATTTGAGAAAATATTGCAATTATGGGGAATCAAGCACTCAACCATTAATTTAAAGCAAGGATACCAATCAGCTGAGATAATCGTAGTTGGTGACAGTAGAACTACTTGCTCTAGTTGAACAAGAATCCAATTCAACCAAACTAACTTTTGATTGTGGCTTCAGATTCAAGATAGGTTATTAACTGAGATCCTGCCAGATGCAGCTAATTCACACAAGACTATTATAACAATGTCTTCTGCACTACACTAAACAGACATTTAGTAGCAACTTCAGAGTTGCATAACATCGACAAAAAGAACAGATACTTTAAATGTCACTCCTTAGATGAATTAATAACAATGCACAAGGAAAAATCATGAGAGAAAACAGAAAAGACATCAATGATGCGAGTCAGCGTACTAACGCGACCGAGACAGCAGAAACCCATTGAAGGGTTTGGGGGCTGAGCGGCGCACAATAGCAGACGACGCCGCCACGGCGTTCCGTCTGTTGTCTCCTCATCGGCGGTATGGCGACAACGGGAGGAGGTGGACCCAGAAGCCTGAAGGATCAAGAAACAACAGGGATTCAGAAGAAGGTAAAGAGTTCCCAACTCACATGGCAATGGTGGGACAATGGAAATTAACCTGAGTGGATCGAATCCGCCGGTGGTTCTTCCGCTGATCCCGCTGTTGAGAAGCGCAATAGCGGGAGTGCGGCATTTGAGCTTTGCGTGGGGGATCGAAGAGGTTAGAGATGGGGAAGGGAGGGTGAACCGGAAGCCGGCGGACGTCATCTTCTGCGGCTAACAGATCAAGAAGGAAGAAGACGCACGACGCGATACGGGGAGAGCGACGAGAGGAGAGGCGAATAAGAAGAGGGAGCAGGTCGAGTCCGGACGCAGAGCACGCGATCCTCTCTCCATGTTTGTTAATCTGTTCGTGTATAGGGTAGGGAAAAGTCGGGGATTTCTCCGAGACGGAACTCCACCTGGCCGTTCAAGAAGCAGAAACTTCTAGATCGACCGACTTCATCGTTCACGCGCCGAGCTAGGTCGGGCCCCATAACTCAATCGCCAATCACCACGCGGGTACCCGAACCCATAGTAGGCCAAGTCACTCGGATCACTCGTCCATAAGACGCGTTCTTGGCACGAGACACATGTGACGGTAACAAATATGAGAGAGAAAGAGAGGGAGGGAAGATATCGCTCCACGTGGACAGCAGAGTGGTGGACCAACCAGGGGGGCCTCGGCCCGGTCCGTGTCCCTGATTCACTATTGACGATCGGAACCCATTTTTTGTTTCTTTTTTATTTTTCGCAAATTCATTCTCGTGCGAGTTCCTAAATTAATATCTGCAATTCGTATTCCTATTCACAATCTCTTAAAATAATTAGTATAAAATTAATAATAATTTCAGAATTACTACATGATACTTTTTTTTTTTTGATAAGAAGTATTTTGATAATCAGTCATCATCCGCCAACTAATCGTCTTACAGACATTGACATGAAAGGAAATGGTCGAATCACCCTCCAATAGGCAGTGTGATTCACTTAACTGATCATGTATAAAATTCGACCCTCTTGGCCAAGGGTCTAACTTCTTTCCTAAAATGTTTCATACTCTAAACAATCTTTAAAAAATAACTTGAGCGTTAGAGGGATCGAGTCAATAAACTCTCTCTAACGTTGATCTTTGAATAGGAACTCACTGAAGAGACTAGACTCCACCTCGACCGAACCTCAAAGCCATTTTGGGTGGGTTAGGATTACATAAAGACCATCTCGAAACCACCTTCCCCACGTCAAGGTTGCCACGAGGGTTCCTCGGACGTCTCCACACCTTCGAGTCCAAATCGAGCCGGGCTGACTCAACCGTTAATGATAAATCCACTCAACATTTTAGCACTAGAAGGAGGGCCCTAAATGTCATAGGAATGTCCTTCTACAAAACCCTCTCATCGAGGCTCTAGTGAGAAAGCTCTACTTGCAATCCATAGTACATTCACACAAGACAGGCAATTGTCTTCCTTTCCCCATGTGGACGTGTCCACCTCCACTAAAACATTGGGGTGTTATTGTTGCCTGTTCAATGATTGAGGGCTCTCACCTTTAGGGACAAACATGGGGCACCTGGTTGTCCTCACCGAAGCATTCTTAAACCTCACACACCAAGTGCAAGCGTTCATGGGGATGATAAAGGCCATTGCCCCACTTATGCCCTACCTGGCTCAACAGACTATGTCGTCGTCATAACCACAATTAATATCTTAACCACAGCCAACACCCCCGACTAACATAGTATTAGCAGCCTAGAACCTCCCCTGACTAGCTGAACTTCCAATAGAATGTCACGAATGGTCATCGTGCACCCGCAACAACTCTGTTCAACGAACCATTCGTCACTATAATCTATATGTACAACTGCTTTGCAGCATGTTTTGGCTTGGTTTTAGGTCATTTTGCTTGTAAAAATGTAAGTTCGAACAAGTTGCAACGCTACAAAGCGACCGCTCACCGAACCGAGCAAAACAGCCCCAAAACAGCTTCGTTTTCGCGTGCCACAGGTTGATTTCTGTAGCCCATTGCTGCACGCGAAACATCAGCCATCTCAGCACCCTAGAACCACCTGGGTGGCACAGGGCTGGATGGGGCTTCGGTATAGTGTCGGGTGTTGAACACTCTTTCGCAAGTTCGCACGTTACCTTGATGGGAACTTGTTGTCACGCCCGGCACCCGGTGAGCAATTGTTTGTAGATTTACAGCTGTTCGTTCAACCTTCTAAAGTCCTTATTTTTCCCCTCTCCCTCTTTTCTCTTGTGCACATAAGGTGCTCGCTGAATTACTTGTTAAGCTTCCCCTTTTCGCGAGATGTTGGGACTTGTCCGTCGCTCGTTCTTCGAACTAATCAACTTTCTCTTTTATAGGTCCTTTGGGACCTGCGAGAGTTGCAAGTGGGCTGATCTTTGCAAATGCAAATCGCAAGGGCGAAGCTTGACTTAGGCATTGCAAGCTAAGTTCACGTCTTTACTGGAATGGTACCTCACGACTTAGGCAACGCAAACTAAGTTCGTGTCTTTGCCGCAAGAGTGCCTCACGCCTTAGGCAATTCTAGCTAAGGTCGTGATAAGAAGGAGCGCCATGCTTTCCGACAATAAATTTCAGTACACTGTTACACCAAGGCTCAGCCTTACTTGAATCAGAGACCTAATCGATAGATTCAATAGACGATTCCTTAAGAGCTCAATTACGATAGATGGGCCAGCAACTAGACGAGATGCATCAAGAGTTCCAATACTTCAGAAGGGGAGATGCAGATGACCCCACCTCAGGCTGCTTCCCATTTGTCTAAAGCATCTAGGAGGAGACGATCACAATAAATATTTGTCTCCTATCATTGGATGCCTTCGATGGCAACTCTAACCTAACGAAGCACACTGTTGCTTTTCGATCTCAGATATCTTTGTATGGTAACTAGGGCACTTTAATGTGTCAAGCATTCCCAATGACATTGAGGGGCTTAACACAAGAGTGGTACAATTATCAGAATCCTTTCTCGGTCTTTGCCTTCACTTAGCTTACGAAGGAATTCGTGGTCTATTTTCTCGAGAACATATGTTTGAGGCTATCTGCGGTTATGCTACTCGGGCTGAGATAGAGGGATGATGAACCCTCTTTGACTTCGTCATATGGTTCACTAGCGAAATTCGAGACGTGTAGGATGTCCACTCCTCTCTTATGATACAAGCTTTTATGATGGGGCTAAGGCCCACTCGCTTCTTCTGGTCATTGGCGGAGAGACCAACCGATGATAGTTCTCAAGATACTCGAAAGGGTTAATCAATATATAACCACAGTAGTAATGATCTTGAGTAAGTGCGAAGAAGCCCATGAAAGGTCGCACCAAGAACCATCTAAAAAATCAATCTTGGGCTTACCGCAACGAAGGAAGCATGGTTGACCCAGAAAACTTCACTTGAGGTAAGGATCAACTCATCTCAACATGATGAGGATTGAGATCTTCTTAGAAATAAAAGAAAAGAGATTCTTGAAAAACTTACGATCGATGAGGATTCTCTTAGAAAAGAGGGATAAATCAAAGTATTATCACTTTAATTGATATTATAGTCACGACACATAGGAGTGTCACGAGCAGATTGAAGAATTCATTTATCGGGAACACCTTGAGAGGACTTTCACTATAGTTTGGATCAGTAATACCTATGAGCTAAAAATATAATTGATTATTAGTACTTAATAACCTAGTTGTATCTAACTAAGTTCATTCATTGCCAAGAGGCTTTTAAAGCTTCGAGGACTATTTTTTATTTTTCATTTTATTTGAATTTTGAAGATAATATTTTTTTATTTGAATTTTGAACGTGATCTTGACAATCCAATCCGTCAAATATGATATGAGAAGATGGTCATTTTATAGAGATATTATTTATCTAAAAATATAATTATTAGATTTTGATTTTCTAATCCTTCAAACAACGTGAAATTAAATATATGATATTATAAAAAAATATTTTAGTTTTGATTTCATAAAGACATGATAATTGACTTGGTTGCATTATTATCTGTAAACGCAGGAGACGCGTCACTACGATATCCCTAGAGAGTCGATCAAGTAGTTTCTATGAAAAGCAACGCTTATAACGTACCTGCGTTGTGTTACCGGAGGCTGCGGTGGCCCCGCAACGGACCTGCCTCAGACCAGGTGCGGCAGGTGGAATAACCGGTTCATGACGAGTCAACGCCTCTTGAGGACGCAACGGACGAACCGGTTCATGACGATATTATGGCCGTCTTCGGGTCAAATACATCGATGTAATCTTATCTCTGTAGGTGCGCGCCCCGCCCCGGCCCGGCCAGGGACCGGTCCACTACTCCCGGTTCCTTTTTCTCTCGACGTCACCCGTCGCCTGCCACGTTTCAGTGCTCTAATCTCGTCGACGACGCCTACTCACGATCCCTGTCACGCCGAGGTCCCGCCACCGCCGCCGTTTCCGAAGGAATCTCTCTCCCTCTCTTTTAAGCTACTAGCTCGTGGTTCGTTTTCTTACTACTCAGTTCTTTTTCGTTTTGCCCTAATCTACTCTTATCGGTGCCTCGCCCACCACTTTTTGATTCAATGATCCATTAATTTCTCTGTCATTGATGGTCTTTGATGCTTTGTCGTTGTTGGCTACGTACCCGGTAATGTTGGTCAAGATTTCGCCTTATGTAGTCTCTTAAAAGTTTTGTTTCTTTGGTAAATGGTTTTGATGTTAAATCGATACAAATAACGAACTTCTAAGATTAAAAATGACATTTCTACATCTAGAAGGATCCAGATTATCTCTACGGACTCGACATTGCTTAGCTCACATTAGAGCGAGGATAAGATTTACGACAACTTTCAGTTAGGGTTCACGATCGGTGTTTTATAAGTTAGTGGATTACATTTGTTATTTCATAAGTTAAGAAAATCTGAATTGTACCTATAGCATTTTTGTCCATGGCATAGCCAAGCTCACTGAATATATTCTGAAAAAGGAATGTTTTGTGCTTATATAGGAGTCTATATACATTCCTGAAGTAGGTTTGGCATTCAGGATCTTCTGGTAGATGGTGTGCATAATGATTGATCTAAGGATGATTTTTAAGGGGAAAAAGAATTGTTATTATCTTCTGTGGTTACATGAATTGACACTGATTGATCTTGAGAAATCAGGTATTAGATCTTCTTAGGCCACACAGATTTTTCTGGAATGGGAAATTTTGCTTGCACTGAGGTTTTGAATATTGCTTTTTAACTATTGAATTAAAGGAAGTTTTATTCTCTGTGCCCTATAAATATATATTTTCAAACGATTATTGATGTTTTAATTTGATGACACCAATGAATGTGCATCACAGTTTGAGATTTATTTTATTACTAAGCACACTATATTAAATAATTCTTTTGATTTGTGCACAGTTGAGGACTAAAAGCTTTCATGTTCTTATAATTTGGGAGATCTAAATATAATTGCAAATTAATGAGTATGTATTACTATCCACTTTAGCTCAGTTGCTTTCACCATGATTGTGCAAGGACAATTCTTCAATTCTACACCATGTTGTTAAAATGGGTTTTTGGGTTCAAATAAGTAAGACCTTACTAGATCTATTTTCTCTCAATAGGTTTCATCTGTTGCTACGGCAAGTTACTCAGGGAATGGCACCATAGGGTTGCCAAAGGTATGGTCGACCAAAAATTTGGTTGTACAGAGACAAAGTTACCAATGACCCAATGGGTGATGCAACAATTACATACAAGGATCCTCATGCTGTTGTTGAATGGTTCTACAACAAGGATTTTCATGGAACCCCCATTGAAGTACATATAGCAGAGTCAAAAACCAAAGATTTGAATGATCATTCATATGCTCAACAGAATGGCTTTGAAGCAAATTCAAGCATGGTACCTGGGGTTTATGATGATGTGGATCGTGGAGGAGGTAGAGGTAGAGGTCGTGGTGATGCTTCAGGATGGTCATGGCAGAAAGATGGAGACTGGATGTGTCCAAATACAAGGTCTTTGGTTTGACAATGGTGAGCCACTTGTTCTTGCACCATGAGATCCTTATTTTGTCTTGAATCTATCATGAATAGTTACAAGGCAATGCAATATGTTTTCTTATACATTTTTTTAGCAGATGTTCGAATGTGAACTTTGCATTCTGAGGTGTTTGAAATTGGTGTGGGACAGCTCGACCTGCTGGTGCTGGTGGAACAGGTGCTGTTGGTGGTAGAGGGAGGGGCCATGGTGGTGGTGATACTGGGGAACGTGCCTGTCATGTTGGTGGTTCTATGGGGCTCTTTGGTTCAAATGACTGGCCCTGTCCAATGTAAGTAACACTCCTTGTTTATAAGGGTAGCTGTATCCTGTTTGAAATCCTTATTGTTACTTACGTGGATAGTATCTAGTTTTTTGCAAGATGAAATCCAACTATATGAATCATGGGGTATTATAGAGCCAAAAAGTTTATATTACATATATGTCGTTTGGCTCAATCACTGTTTGCTTCAGTGAAGCATGCTGCTATGTAAGTTAGATGGCTAGCATTATGTTTTTTATTCCGAAAAATGCCTAAGGAATCCAAACATCTAATCTCTTTTGGTCATTGCATGACTCTTTTTGGAAGATTTCAAATGAGTTCTTTAACCTTAATTTTTCCAATCGACTTTCTAAATTTTATCTAATGTTCCAATGAAATCCTGTTGTCAATTCCATCCAAAAGTTTTGGCCAAAGTTGACCTCGTTGCACTGTAAGAATTGACTTTCAAACTTGGCCTAAATCTCACCAAGAAAATTTGTTTGACATGTCACATGGTTCAATGCCTACAACTTGGACATTAGCTTGTCATCAAGTGCAGTTGTTAAGGGTTAAGAATTGTCCATTAGACAACTTTCTTGCCGGCATCTATACTGGATTGACAAGCCAACTCATATTGTGTAGTTATCATAACTATTAGCTTATGGATGTAAATTGACTGCTGACTTCTCCAAAACATTAATTATAGTGTGAATTGACAAAAGCTGAAAACCAGATTTGCAATTGAAAATTTCCTAGTAAGATTAAGGACTAGTTTTGTAATTTACCCTTTCTTTTAGCCTAAAACACTTCATTAGTTTGCTTTAATTATTATTCTCTTTGATTTTTGACTCTATACACCAGCAATCTATTTAGTGTTATTTCTGATTTCTCTTCGACAAGCTCTCCTATCTATTATCTTATTCCGTTCCGCGCTCTAACGCCCAACATTATACTCAACTAAGCTTGTTCAGTGTCATTGAGGCAGAGAATCGACTCTCTTCTTCACCGGTAAGTCAATTAGTGTCATTGAGGCAGAGAATATGATGCACCGGGGGGAGCTTTTGAAAAAGCCGTTTTCTTCATGTCATCAAGAGCACTCACCATTGTACAGATCAGAGTGTAGAGATGCGAACCGCTTTCTTTATCATGCCACTTGAGGTTTCACCGTTTTGGTCTTTGTCAACTAGTGAATGCTCATGCACAACTATAGCTCCATTTCAAGCATGGATTAGATGTTCTTTATTGTCCTCTTTGATGTTGGCGAATTAAGTCCTCGGATTTGAAATTGTCTTTTTTTGTCTGGACAAATTTAGGCAAACAGGAAAGGAGAATGCGAAGATATGAGCTTAGTGATACTTCCCTGCTTGTCTTATTCCTTTTTTGTGGATGATTTTTATTATAGTCTTATTTTGGATCTTTTGTGTGCTCTTGTGGAGTGTTGTCTATATCCTAGCATATAATTGCACGTGCTTTGCAGAAGCAATTGTCTTGAGTGTTTAGTTTATTATTGTGAAATAATTGTAGGGAAATCTAGGGGCGACATCACATGCACAACGGAAGAACATAAAACAAAAATCCCAAATTTTTCAAAAATGTGTTTATCATTGTGTGAAGATTGGTGTGCAAAAACTTGCGAAACTGAAAACCACGTGTGAGATAGTTGTGTTCCCTAGGGAGATCGTATATCCTTGAATGAAGGAGATTAAGCGTCCTCCTCTCTAGCAGTGATCCACACGGTAGGGACTGCGAAGATGCTCCTCAAATCGTTGCCCAAATCTTCACACCTACTATCTGAGGAGAAGAGGAGAGAAGAATAGGAGGTGACAACCAAAACGCCTAGCCTATAGTCCTTTGGTTCTCTTCCATTTATAGTGGCCCCTTGTCAACTTAACACTAATGATTCCTGTCATATTCGGTATTGAATCTCCATCTAACTATCTAAGCCTTTTAGATTAGTGGATCTTTATCCAATAATCTCTCATTCACTCTTATTGGATCTCATCCATAGGATCCAATAATACAGGGGCTTATTGGATATCCAATAATACAGGGGCTTATTGGATATCCAATAAGATAGGGGCTCCGACGGATGTCTTATATCCGAACCTTTACTCGTTGCAATACCTATCATATGTGTTTGACCCTTTAGGCCCAATATTGAATTTGCCGTGAGTCGTACTTATTAGAACTCCTTCTGGCTCGGTGAATTATTATCTTCATAATAATTCACTCGACTCATTGACTACGGATGTATTAGGTCACTACGCCGCAGTCCCCAGACGATACAGGGGAATCCAATCCTTTGGACTTATATGTCCTTAGTTATCGTGTACCTATAGTCCCTCATCCATTTAATATCCCAGAGACTGTATACCGGACATGGTGTTGTCAGACCCATATGGTTTCTTCTTGAGTCTCGCTTTAATCGGATTCTTCCGGAGAACTCTTTCTCTCTCAATCCGAATGATCTTGGCCAAGGATTTGTTTGAGCAAGAACACATAGGATATTCCTCTCATGATACCGAGAGCGGATGATCCTCTATCGACACTCAATAGCCCTCGTAAGGTTGATTACTACTCCTGATGACCGGTTGTATTAGATATGAAACTTCTAAACCTATAAGTCTGATATCAAAGAGTGAATTACTCATACAGGACATCCTTGGTGTCTCAAGTCTAAGAACCAGGTACACCATTGGGACGACGGAATCGTTGTCTGACAATGAGGTATCATCAACTATCTAGCATTCTGTGAGCTAATTAATCAGTGAACTCATTCTCCAATGAGCACCTACACTATAGCTCTAGTGTCTCCACGAGCAGCTATAATGCCAACCGCCTCCATCATATAAACCGGTGTACAGCACATCAGTCTGTCCGGTTATCTCGATGTCTGTCTCGAGTAACTTATGACTAGGATTATTTAGGGTTTGTGTTTAAAGGTGAATCAGTCTCATTATCGTGATCTCATAACGATATGATTCTAACTGCACAGATCCATGGACATCAC